GCCCGTGAGAAGCTGCCAGCTGGCATCGAGATGAACGTGCACGTGCTCACCATGGGGTGAGTGAGTGCTAAGTGGACCAGTGTTGACCAGCGTTGACCAGTGTTGACCTTGCTGTGTTCAAGAGGGCCTCGAAAGTAAGAAGCTTCCAGCTGACATCGAGATGAACGTGCGCGTGCTTACCATGGGGTGAGTGAGTGTGATTGCTCAATTGCACAGCACTGACTGTGGGGTGAGTCCTTGCGCCGTTGACCAGTGTTGACCGGCATTGACCATGAGGTGGGTTTCATTTTTACTAGTGTCGACCAGTTTCGGATAAGTGCCGAGTTTACCAGGGTTTCGCATTTTGATCTTCCCATTCCCCCTACCGTGCCCAGCTACTGGCCCACATACCCTCCTGTGGAGGTGCAACTACCATGGGAACACGGTGTGTATCAGGACATATTCCGGGACTTCTATGTGGGCAAGCACAGCGGGCGGCGACTCATGTGCCTTACTCTCCTCGTCTGTCTTGATCCTCTCCTCGTTCTCCTCGTTTTCCCCGTCTTACAGCTACTGGCCCACATACTCACCAGTGGAGGTGCAGTTACCACGGGAGCTGGGAGTCTATCAGGACATATTCCGAGACTTCTATCTGGGCAAGCACAGCGGGCGGCGGCTCATGTGGCAGCACAGCCTGGGGCACTGTGTGGTGCGGGCGGATTTCCCCAAGGGGAAGAAGGAGCTCTCGCTCTCTCTCTTCCAGGTACAGTGCGGCGCTGTGTGGTACTGTGTAACACAGTGTGATGTTGGGCGGTAGTGTGTGGTACTGTGCGGTGCCGCATGGGTCTCGCGCTCATGTGGCAGCATAGCCTGGGGCACAGTGTGGTGCGCACGGACTTCCCCAAGGGGAAGAAGGAGCTCTCACTCTCGCTCTTCCAGGTACTGGGCGGTGCTATGCGATCCTCTGTGGTAAGGTGTGGTACTGTGTGGTACTGTTTGGTACTGTGCAGTACTGCATGGTCTCTCTCCTCTTGTGCTCGTGTGGCAGCCCAGCCTGGGGGGGCCCGGACCCGAGGGCTTTTCAACAGTGCCGGCTGCCTGCCTGTCCGTTGTGCATACTCTTCATTCTTTATCTCGACCTCTCCTGGTTGCTCCCTGCCCCGAGACGTGGTGCTGATGCTGTTCAACGATTCCGACCGCCTGTTCCCCACAGAGGTCCGCGAAGCCATGGGCATCACTCTTTGTCCCTCCTCCCCTAACCTGATTTCCCCCCACACCCCCCTGCCCAGAGACTGTGCTGCTGTTGCTGTTCAACGATTCCGACCGCCTGTCCTTCACTCTTTGTCGTTCCTCCTCCCCCAACCTGACTGCGCTGCACATCCCCTTCCCCCAGACTGTGGTGCTGATGCTCTTCAACGATGCGGGCCGCCGGTCCTTCACGGAGAGCTGCACACGACCCCTCTCTCTCGTTTCCTATTCACCTGACCTGCTTTCATCACACACCCTTTTCCCCCAGACCGTGGTGCTGATGCTGTTCAACGATGCTGACCGCCTGTCCTTTGCGGAGATCCGAGATGCCACGGGGATTACCGATGCGGAGCTCAAGCGCACGCTGCAGTCGCTAGCATGCGGGAAGACCAGGGTGCTGCAGAAGGTACGGTGCAGTGCGGTCTGCTGTGGTTCAGTGCGGTACAGTGTGGTGCAGTGTGGTTGCAGGATGTATATACTGCAATGGGTGCCACGGGCATCACCGACGCAGAGCTCAAACGCACACTGCAGTCGCTGGTGGCGGCAAGACCAGGGTGCTGCAGAAGGTGCGGTGCAGTGCGGTTTGGTACGATGTGGTGCAACTGCCCCCAATACTTGAGTGAACTTCCCGTCACTCCCCTTTTCCGTCCTTTCACATGTGCGGCACATGCTCTGTTGCAGCCAATTCTCAACCTTAAAACCCAGCATGTGCTTCCGTCCTTTCCTTTTGCATCTATTTTGTGCCTGCAGATTCCCAAGGGCCGTGACGTGTCAGACACCGATTCGTCTGATTATACAGGTCGTTCGAGTGTGTGTTTGTTTCCTTTCTTTTGCTTCTCTTCTACCCGCACGCCTGCAGATCCCCAAGGGCCGTGACGTGTCAGACACTGATTCGTTTGAGTTCAACACAGATTTCACGGCATCGCTGTTCCGACTCAAGGTGCGAACGATGGGATTGAGAAGCAGAAGGAAGGTGAGGAGGGATGGATACCACTTAGCTGACGTGACAGTAATTGTCTTCTCCTCCCAGGGTTGATGGAAGGAAGAGGGGCGGACAAGAAGGGTGGGAAAGAGGAGGACGGGGAAGAGAGCTGATTGATTGGGCACTGCTTGTTTGTCGAATTTTTCTCTCTTTTCATAGATACAGCCTACAGGTCTATGAGGCGTCCTGAAAGATGTTATGTTGTGTTAGTTGTGGTTTATTAAAATGTCAGTGCACTTATGGGTTTGCTGCATTCATGCATGTCATATGCATAACATGCGTGACTGTAGGTGAACGCGATTCAATTGAAGGAGACGCCAGAGGAGAACACCAACACCACGGAGAGAGTTTTCCAGGACAGGCAATACCAGGTACTCGTTTTAGGCAATACCAGGTACTCGTTATAGGCAATACCAGGTACTCGTTATAGGCAATACCAGGTACTCGTTATAAGTAGCAGCTGGTAGTCATTATAGGCAAAACCATTTTTTTTTTAAGGACACGACCAAGTATTCCTTATAGGCAGTGCATTCCTAGGATTTTTGCTGCATGATACAGGCATGTTTGTTGGTTCATGTGCAATGGACTCATGGTCGTTCCATTCCACCCTCCCTGAAACGTTTGGCAGATTGATGCAGCCATTGTGAGAATCATGAAGACTCGGAAAGTGCTCAGCCACACGCTGCTCATCACTGAGCTCTTCCAGCAGGTGTGTGTTCTCACGGGGGGGAGGGGGGGCAATGCACTCTGGTGTGCCAGAGGTTGTTAGTTGGTCGACTCAAAGGGTGTGAAGACTCGGAAAGTGCTCAGCCACACGCTGCTCATCACTGAGCTCTTCCAGCAGGTGTGTGTTCTCACGGGGGGGAGGGGGGGCAATGCACTCTGGTGTGCCAGAGGTTGTTAGTTGGTCGACTCAAAGGGTGTGAAGACTCGCAAGGTGCTCAGCCACACGCTCCTCATCACCGAGCTCTTCCAACAGGTGGGGGTTCTCACAGGGGGGAGGGGGTGCAAGGCACTCTGGTGTGCCTGAGGTTGTTAATTTGTTGACTTAGAGGGTGGGAACACGTGCAATGTGCTCAGCCACACGTTGCTCATCATGGATCTCTCTTCCAACAGGTGGGTAGTCTCACAGTTGCACGCGATTATCCAGCAATTACACATTCTTACAGGGATAATGAGACGTCTCAAAACACACGATTGTCCAGCAGTCACTCATTCTTACAGGGATTATCCAGTCACACGTTTGCCATGCTTTGGCTTCTGTCAATATCTCCCCCTCTTCCTCTGATGCACTCACGTGTCCTCTGCCTTCCTCTCCTTATTTGAAGTGCTCTGTCCTCCCTGCCTCACTCATTGTGCCACGTGACGTGTTTTCTGCACCCACTCCTGCTGTATCTCCCGCATTTTTCTCTCTTGCTTTAACCCACCTACTTGCACGTTTGCTTTTGCTCCCATGTTGCACATGTCTACTCCTGTTCATGCCTACGTTCACATGTCTCTGTCTCTGTCTCTGTCTGTGTGCCTCTCTCTGCCTGCTCCAGCTCCCCATCAAGCCTGCTGTTCTGAGATCGTCTGTAAGCTTGTACTTTTTTTTTTTTGTCTGTGCCTGTGTGTGTGTGTGTGTGTGTGTGCCTCTCTCTCGCCCTCCACAGCTCAAGTTCCCGATCAAGCCGGCGGATCTGAAGAAGCGAATAGAGAGCCTCATCGACCGCGAGTACTTGGAGCGAGACAAGAGCAACGCTCAGATCTACAACTACCTCGCCTGATTCATTCCCCACTGCACTCCAGCTATGCATACTCGCATATACAGCTACACCTGGCGTGGTCTGGAGTGGGACCGTGGGACAAGAGCAACGCTCAGATCTACAACTACCTCGCTTGATTTCCCAAGGCACACACACACAGATCTTAGTGCGCAGTCAGCTGTCTGAGTGCACTCCGGCAATACACACACACACACACACACACACACACACACACACACACACACACACACACACACACATACAGCTCCTGCAATGCACACGCACGCGTATACAGCTACCTGGCATAGTTTTTGAACGGGGCCAAGCAACAGAGTCCACAGGGCAGGATGATGGCACTCACAGGCCTAGACTGGAATATGCCGTTCTCATGTGCTACTATTGTACTGCGTGTGATTTCTGTTCATTCTTTTTTGTGATGCTTGTCTGCAGCACTGCCAGTGCATGCTGCATGCTGCCTGGACTTACCGTACTGCAATTGCCAGTGTGTTCAGTAGACAGGCTGGCAACCAAGCAGGGGGGCAGGCATGCAAATAGACGGGGGCCAAGACAGGCTGGTGGGTGAAAATGTAGGGGTGCAATCAACTTCAGATTGCAAGTAGGTGAGGGACAAGACCGCTTCTTCCTTAGAACAAGACCAACAAGTCGTTGATGGAAGGGAGGTCTCATCCCTACAAGCCCAACATCTATAGATCTACTGTGCGCGAGTGTGATGTGCCTGTAGGAGTTAGGAAGGAATGCAGCTTGGAGGTTCTCTGCTTCGCTGGCAGGGGCACGATGGCACTGGAACAAACCAGCTTCAGTCATACCCATTACAAGAATATGATATGATACAGTAAGATCACATGATATGATGTGTATGACTACATGATTCCTTCCAGGTTCCAATGCACATCCGGAAGGAAGACCTGCTGCAGTTTACCGATGCCACTACTCGTGTATTTGGGATTTCTTATTCAGCAGCAGAGCGCCTTTTTCCTCCCCTGTCACCGCACTCCACACCACACCACACATTTGAAAGCCCACCATTACCACCGCCAATACCCCCTCAACTGCACAAGATGACTCAACACATCCTTCCCCTCCGCAGTCACTGCGCTCGTCATCACCCACAGCAGTAGCTCAGCATAGCACTCCAGCCAGCTCCTTGAATTGTAACAGCCACACCACAGGACTCCACGCAGCACCACACCACACCATAACAGACCACACCAAACCCCACCACTAACGTTGCCAGAACTCCCTGAGCTGTGCAATATGGGCTAACAAAGCGTCCTTGCCCTCTCCCGTCACAGCGCTCGTCATCACCCACGGTGGCAGCTCAGTGTAACTGCATACCCTGACAGCCCAACATCCAAGATTCCACACCACTACCGCCGCCAGAACTCCCTCAACTGTGCAATATGGGCTAACAAAGCGTCCTTGCCCTCTCCCGTCACAGCGCTCGTCATCACCCACGGTGGCAGCTCAGCGTAGCACTCCGCCAGCTCAGCGCGGAACAGCGCCGCGTTGACGGCTGGCGGGCGGCCGTTCCGCCTGGCCTTCTTTTGCCTGTCGCACTTGGTGAACACGACAGTGAGGGGGATCTGAGGAGGGGGGAAGAGGGGTTTGGGTTTGGGGGGGGAAGCACAGAAAACGATCAACACCTTTCCGCCGGGCCTTCTTCTGCTGATCACACTTGGTGAACACGACAGTGAGGGGGATATGGAGGGGAAATGGGGAAGGAGGAGGGGGTTAAAGGACGGGGCATGGAGTGGGGAATGGTGATTCCCAAGTGAGGGAGCAACAACTGTGAGGGGGGTCTGGAAGGAAGGAGATGGGGGGGTGAGGGACATAGGGGACACATGGGGGACAAAAAGGGCACACATGAGGGCAAGCACTTGCCTACTGGCCATCTCCCAGTGTGCCCGTGTGCCCGTGTGCCCGTGTGCCCTTGTGCCCTTGTGCCCGTGTGCCCCTGTGCCCCTGTGACCTTCCGCATGGCATTTTTGCCATGCGATCGCACTTGGTGAAGAGCACAGTGAGGTTGAATTTCCCAGAAGCAACCTAAACACCCAAACCAGCACAGTCATTCCCAAGACAACCCAAGTTAACGCTACTCACCTTGTTCCTCCCCAGCCAGTCAGCGCACTCCACATCAATGGCTTGAGGGGGAATGGTGGCATCCACCAGCAGCAGCACGGTGAGCAGGTTGGTGCGCGAGGTGAAGTAGGCCTTTGTAAAAGCGTTCCATTCCGTTCGAATGGCGTTTGGGGCCACTGCATAGCTGGTGTAGGGAGGAAAGAGGTGGGGAAGGGGGGGGGGGGTAACAACAGCAGCAGCAGCAGCAGCAGCAGCAGCAGCAGCAGCAGCAGCAGCAGCACGGTGAGCAGGTTGGTGCGTGAGATGAAATATGCCTTGGTAAAAGCGTTCCACTCTGTCCTTATGGCATTGGGTGCCACGGCGTACCTGGGGAGGAAAGTGGGGAAGGGGGGGGGGTTAACAGCAGCAGCACGGTGAGCAGGTTGGTGCTCGATATGAAGTAGGCCTTGGTAGACGCATTCCACTCCGTCCTTATGGCATTGGGTGCCACGGCGTACCTGCACGAGTGGGGGGGAAAGGGGGCGCAGCAGCAGCAGCAGCAGCATGAGGAAGGAGACGTGAAGTAGGCCATGGTGAATGCATTCACTCTATTCTCACCCATAGCCCGACTTTTGAGGCAACTCAGCCCCCAAACCCCCTCAAAAGAAAAAAAAAGAAAAAAAAACACACACACAAACATAATCCTAAAAGGCCTCGGTATATGACAAGAGTAGTGAGATCATGTCAAGCATGGGGATTAAAACCCCCCCGCACTCTAAAAGGATAGTCTCAAGGCATCAACACTCACTCACCCATAGCCCGGCAAATCCACGAGGTACCAGGAGTCGTTGATAAGGAAGTGGTTTATCAGCTGCGTCTTGCCTGCAGGGCAGGTGGAAAGAGGGGATGGGGGGGGGGAAGGGGGGACATGGGAGATGGGGTAAATGGGAGAGAGGGGAGCGGGGTGAATGGGAAATGGGGGTAAATGGAAGAGGGGGAAGCGCGGGTTAACGGAGGAAAGGGAGAGGAGCGGATGGGGAGATAAGGCAAGTGGTACCACAGGAGAATTAGATCAAACCTAAGGAGACTTTGATCAATGGTCAGCATGTTGATGAGGGTCGATTACGATGCTAGCAAGGCGAGGGGGGATATTGATCAAACCTAAAAAAACTTCCAGCCCTAAACCCTCAACCCTGATCCAGATTCACCTGCTTTTTTCTTTTTTCACGTTTGAGCTGGGCCTATATGGTTGGTCCACATGCTGTTGAGAGAAGATAGCCATAATAGTAAGGGAGGATTCACGAGTAAAACCTAAAACCCTCGAAACCTGCAACCTGAAACCCAAAACCGTGAACTCACCTGGTTTCTTGGAGGTCTGTGCTAGCCCCTTGTGATTTGTCAACATGTTGATGAGGGATGATTTCCCCACGTTGGATCGGCCAATCACAGCAAACTCCGGGATCTTCGTATCCTTAGGGCACTGCGCCACACTGCTGCTGCTCTTCACAAATACTGCCGATTTCACCCGCGGGGCTTGCCGCCCGGGCGGCAGCACCAGACTGCCCGTGGAGAGCTCCTGTTCTGACTCAGCAAGGGCTCGTTCCACGTCAGCATCGCCTCCGTCCCATTCTCCCTCGTCCTCTTCCTCCCACTCGTCCTCCTCAAAATCCCCCTCGTTATACTCACGCTTCTGCTCCCCCAATGGAACATATCGTTCCTCAGACCCCTCAACCCTAATTTCCGAACCTCCGGCGGTTCGTCTCTCCCGAACCAGCAAGGAATCAGGCTCCGGACCGTCTTCTTGCTTCGAAGCTGGTCTGGCAGGAGGCTTGGAACTAAGCTTGGCAGCAGGTTTGGGTTTTGCGCCACCCTTGGGATTACCATGAGGCCTGCTCTTAGTACTTTTTGTAGTCTTGATGCTCTTAGTGCTCTTAATAGCCTTACTCTGACTGCTGCTGCTGCCCGCACTTTTGGGCCGATTTCCCGTCTTTCCCCCCTCGCGACTACTTACACTGCTGCCGCTGCTACTCCCAAAACCACGGCCGCTGCTGCTGCTTCGGATGTTTATTCTGGATTTACCCGAATTAAGCGAAGGTGTTGCTGGGGAGGCTGTTAACACTGGCACGCCCGAAAATGGGGAAGATTTAACGGCCAGAAAGCTATGGAGTGGCGAAAGAGCGTTCGGTTTTGAGGAAATCCCGAGGCTAAGACGACAGCTGATGTGAGTCGCGGAACTGGCGAGAGCTGACGTGGCAACGGCTGACGTGGAACGACCTAGAGAGTGCGGCGACATTGCTGCACAGGCGGTGTGCGAGTGTTGAAATTGGTTCAAGGGGATTCGCTGAGCCATGGCGTGACTGTAATGGGAGACAGTTTGGTGGGATGGGTGAGATGGGTGGGACGCTACGACTGCGGGTGTGGCCGCTACGGCCGCTGATGTGGGAGCTACAGCCGCGATCCAACGGGGTGGAACGGTTTGATTTGCCAATCCAAGGCAGCACGGTGCTCCGGAAACGGTGGGAACGTTGCGCGGGAGTGGCTGCTGCGCGGAATCAAGCGCGCGCAAAGCGCCAGTCACAATGAGATTCCGCGAATCGCGCAGAAAGGAGGTTGCGGGAACAGCGGCGAGGGATCGTGCGACGCGAGGGAGTAACATTCAGACGAGCGGGGAGCGTTCGCCGCAGGAGATAGCGTCGCGTATCGAGCCGGGATATGGTGGCGCAAGAGGTGGCGCTTCGCAGGACTTCACCTACGATTGCGCGAGGCAGTTATCCGTTCCTGGTAACTCCTAAATTTCCTGTAACTGTGTGGCTTGATCTGCTATGGTGGCTAGTCTGCCTGCCAGTGGCCATTGCGTAGCTGACCTGGACAGCGAAATCTGGCTATTCCACGTGGCGTGAGGCTAGAAATGGGCCCACAACGCAGAGTCGAGCAGAATGCTCTTCGAGTCTCAAATTCTCAGAAGCCTGTTCTTTTCATTATCAGCCGTGAGTTACACACAAAGCGAACTATTCTTTCGCCTTTTACTAAAGAATACCGTGTGTGTTCCTCGCTAAGCGGCATACATAAATTTTTGGAGTGCCCCTGACGGGGCGCAACAAACTAAAGTTGAAATGGGATGATCAAGAGGGCTCTTCACCTTTATTTTACGTCGAACAAGATGCTCCTGCTAAAACATGAATTGTGGTGGTTGTGCCAAACGTGGAACTGCAAATGTACTTGTCTCTATGGTCAATTCAATTTCTGTTACACATGCTAAGTAATTCGCACATTTGCATTCACATTGGTGATGACACAATACACATACTAGTACTAGAGTTGGAACCGTAACACTGACAAAATCCTAGTTCTAATTCCAGCTCTGATCCAGCATTTGCTACTAGATGACCTTAGTTGCACAAGCCACCTGGCTGCTGCAACAAAATGTTCTATGTATATCCTCTTCGCTAAGCCACACCATGAAAGGTGGCAACTACATCATCTCTGTTGCTGGTGCCGCCCACTGTACACCTCATCAAAGCTAAGCTCCTGCTGGACTGATGGCCACAACATCGATAATATCCACCTCACCATCATCTGCAACACCGCGTGCACTGCGCTTGCTGTTACCCCCATTGGCACCTTTGTTGTTGCTGCTGCCGCTGTTGGTGCTTTTAGCAGCGGAGCTTTGAGCTTTTCTTGGGGAGGCCCAGCCCTTGGGTGTCCACACCACGTGGTGGCATCCTCGGCAGATCAGCAGCTCGCGACGCGGACCGATGAAACGAACTCCACATGAAGGGCAATCACCCTGATAAAATAAGGGAGGATGGTGAGAAATAAGGAAGCGTGGAAAAATGAACGCGTGAGCACAGAACAAGAGGGCGCGGACGCGTAAAAAGGCTGCGACATTCAGATCAGGGAGCAATCAGCATGGTTCAGAAGGGTGTGACACGAAAATGGCAGAGGTTTATTGAAAGCTATAGGAGAGACAGACGCTTTGACTCTTCAGGGATTCTATTATACAAGTGATGGAGAGAGGATGAAGCAGGAGCTTAGAGCCTGAAAAACAGTAAGGAGTATACGAAGAGACAAGACAGTTTAATGAAGAGAAGAACAGTACCTCAACGAAGGCTGCTTTGGCGAGCGCTCTGGCGAGCAGAGGGAGCAGTGGGACGATGCAGAGCGACCAGAGGAAGATCTGCGCTAGCCAGCCCGAGATGAGCAGCCACGCGAACGCCACGAACTGAGGGACGGAGGGAAGCGGGCGAGAGTGGAAAGGTCAATGACGATCCACGGCGAGAGTGGAAAAAGAGTGAGGGAGTTTGGGAGGGAGTCAAGGGAGTGGAAGAGGAGAAAGAGAGGACGAATGAGGTTAAATGCAGCGAGAGCGGCGTGCAAAGAGCACAAGGCTAGAGCGGAGACGACGACCACAGGTGGACAAGGACTCGTAAAGAGCGATGGGACAGTAGGGGAGGGTAGCAACGAGACCGCCAGCGAGGGGTGGGGAAGCATACCATAACGAGCTGGCCGGCCGGCGTGGTTCTGAACTCCGCCCACCGCTTCAGATACTGCGCGGGGCACGCGCGCGGGGGGACGGGGACAGAGCGGGGGGGAGCAGGAGAGGAGCGGGAGAGGGGAGTCGGGGAAAGAGGGGGCATATGGGGTTGGGTAAGGCGGGAGAAGAGGGGAAGATGTACATCGGACGAAGGGGTGGATGGTGGGGAGGAGGGCCGGGGAAAACGATATCGCGGGACAAATATCTGAGGGCGAAGTAGGGTTACTTGGCTTAAACTCGCAAGATGCGGCCCAGATGCAGAGGGAAACGGTGAGAGACAGCGCAGGGTCAAGGTGGGGAGAGGAGAGGTAGGGTAGCGGGGGGGTGGGAGTGCGGCGAAGGGAAGCGGAGTGCTGACGGTGGGAATACCTTTGGTAGTTGATACTGTATCTCCTTGATCATGTCTCGCATTCTTTGTCGGATCCGCAAGTTACAGTCCACATCGTACGCCGCACCAACCACGGCGCGTTTCATCTCCTCCACTCTACTCGAAACCCCGAACTGCGCGTCGAACCGGAACGCGTGCCTCTCCGCCTCGAACGCGACCTCCTCGAGCCGCTCGTTCGCGGCGCCCACCGCCTCCCGCGCCTTTCCGCGCAGGTCATTATCACGCTCAAACTCCGCCACCTTGCTCTGCGCGCAGCGCAAAGCGCCCGCCGTGCCGTCCGCTATTTTCCGCAGCGCCACCTTCGACTGCTTCTTGGCGGAGCGAAAAGCGCGAGAAAGCTCCTCCTGCAGCTCTTCCGGATTGAGATTGAAAGGCGGCTCGTCAGGGCCGGACCCGGCTGCGGGAAAATCGGCGGCGGACGCGGCAGCGGCTGACGCGGCGACGCGGGGGACGGCGGAAGAGGACACGGTGCGGAGGCCGGGAGGAAGCGCGCCGGGGGGAAGCGCGCAAGGGGGAAACCGGAGGCGGGTTGAGGGCTTGTTGGGCGCTGAGGTCGATTTCGAGAGGCGTGAGGTTGATCCTTTGAAGGGCGGCGACCAGGTGGTTTGACGAGACGAGGACGACGAAAGGCTGAGGTGCGACGATTTTAGGGATAGCTTGGACGACGTTATCGGAGACGAGAGGTCTAAACGTGCCGCCATTGCGCTCTTATGCAAGGTGGGTGAGCTTCGTGGAAACGATTATCAGGCGAGAAGATCAGCTTTGTTGCTGCAGACCAGCGGACTAAACAGCTCCTAACGATGCCCGCTTCAATGAGGACGCAGTGGCCAGCTCCACAGTTCGCCTCCCGTTGTAGCCTAAAATAGCGTTTGCGACAACAATTCTCCACGATCTCTGGAGCCTACTAATGTAGTTGCTCGAACACTGGAGCGAGGAGTAATTTTCCAACGCCTACCGAAAAGGAGGAACCGAAAGGAAGCGTGTAGAAACCCTCATAATTTCTACGAACCGAAACGAAGCTGCAACTGCAATCATCCTCAGATCAGCTTTCGCCCTTTGTCGTTAGGCCACCCATTTTCTGACTGACCCTAGGTCGATATCGTTACCCTTGTTTCGCCATCCTTCGTCTAGCTAGGCTAAGTTTGCACTTCAGCGATTCCAAGCGAATCGCGGTGCGAAAGCTGCTATCCAAGCCTGGCTGGCATGATCCACCAGAATGGTGGTCACGTGTAACTGCGAAGCGTCACTGGCTCGAACCCACGACTCTCGTTCCATCCACGTCAGTATTCCCATTGGCTGTAATCCTCCCAACGCTTACTCTGTTCCTACCGTGGCACATGTGGCCGCGTGGACGGATCGATCACTGCCAGACAGATCTTCACGAGCGTGTGAACCGCGTCAGTACACGTCACTATTCGCAATGTTGACGGAGAAATTCGACTCTGACAAGCCTCGATATCCCTGTGCTGGCGTGGACGTGCCTTGTCGTTGTGTGCTGGTGCGTGATCCATTGAATTCACCAATCGCATATTCGATCAGGCTCCACGTCATAATACAGAACACATAAAAAGTACAGCTTGACAGAGCGCACAGTAACAAAAAAGAAGGAACAAACTCCATTATTGGATTTAACATGTGGATGCATGAATTCATGGTTGGATGTTATGTGAAAGACACACATCCAAAACACAAAATATCTGTATCTCGTAATATAATCTTGTGATTCATTTTTTATCGTCCAATTCGTATGTCTCCTATATTATTATGGCCTCATTGCTTTCCGATAGACAGATAGTGGTATGCCTGGATTTTGTGAGAGAATTTCTTTCGTTTTTACTCTTGTAGCGAAGCTTCTTGTCAGAATCGTTCTATCGTTGGGAACCACGTGGGCCGAATTCCCTTGAAAAGTACCACGTGGGAGCTAGAGTTCCCATCTCACGTGATCACCATCCACGTCGGAACAGGCCCTGGGATTTGCTGGAACTCCATGCTCCTCCTGAACCTGGGAGCCTGGAATGCAGAAGGGGTTCTCACTTGGTCGTAAGAGCTTTCGCTCGTTGATTGTGTGAGCGTCAGCTTGTGAGAAGCAGGATTTGGCTTGTCCTGGCATGCGAGCCTGAATCTTTCTCGTTCCGCGGGCCACAAGTCTCAGTTCCTGCCTTCCGCCTCCATTGCTCGCATTTTGTCCGGTCCGCATCGTCCGCGGCCGATCCACGTTATCCCGTCCCGATTCCATCATTTACCACTGATTCCATCCCGAGAATTCCACTCGATCGATCCCGCCATCGCATATCACCGCATCCTGCCGCATCTCACTGCATCGCACCGAATTCCGACGTTTCCTGCCGCATTCCATCGCTGTAATTCACCTCTCACACACGCAAGCAAACCATCATGGCTCCGTCACGCCGGTTGCACACTCTGATTCGCCGCGCGCTCAATCACAACCGCCATAGCCACAACCTCTCTCGTGCCGCTCCAGCGCCGTCACTTTCTGCCGCTGCGCTTGGAACGCTGCCGGCGGCTGGCGCGCTTCCGCCGCTGTGCCGTGGATTCGCTTCCGCCTCCGCCGCGGGTGGCGGAAGCGGAGCCCCGCGCGCGCCGGCGACGGAGAGCGAGGAGCTGGGCGCGAGCCGCGTGGTGGAAGCGTCGTTGACGCTGGTGCGCGAGCGAGCGCGACTCAAGGTAACCGTTGCTCACCTTAACCCCTTATTCCCCTACCCGCTTATCCCCCCTGTCCTCTTTCCCCGCTGTCCCCTGTCCTTCATCCCCCCTTCTCCCTTACCCCTCTGCCCCCTGAACTCCCCCAATCCTCTAACTCCCTGAATACCCCGTTTTCACGCTGCCATTCTGCCCCCTTGCCCCCTCCCCCATTGTCCCCCTACCTTCCTGTTCCCTTATCCCCCTACCCCACTAATCCCCTCATACTAACTGCAAACAATTACGTTGGGATTCCCGCTGCTCCCTTTCCTCCTGCCCTCCATGCCTCGTGCATCAAAGGCAGAAAAGGTGCGAGCAGCAGGGGGCGCAGAGGCGACAGGGTGTCTTCTCGGGGTGCCTCTGGGTCACAACTCCAGCTTCCTGCAGGGCCCTGCCTGCCTTCGCCCCTCTTATCCCCGTGCCATACTCTCCCTTGTCCCCCTCCGGTGCCCCTGTTGTGGTAATCACAGGCAGAGAAGGAGCGTTTGACCACCTCCACTCCTGTTCCCTTACTCCGTCTGTGCTCTGCTGTCCTATCTTACACCACAGGCGGAAAAGGTGCGAGCAGCAGGGGGCGCAGAGGCGACAGCGTGTCTTCTCGGGGTACCCCTCGGTCACAACTCCAGCTTCCTGCAGGGCCCTGCCTTCGCCCCGCCCCGCATTCGAGAGGCCATTTGGTGTGGCTCCACCAACTCGGCCACGGAGGAAGGTGAGAGTTGACTCGCGTTGACTGATGTCAACTAGCATTGACTGACGTTGAGTGGTGTTGACTGCCTTCACCCCGCCCCGCATTCGAGAGGCCATTTGGTGTGGCTCCACCAACTCGGCCACAGAGAAAGGTGAGAAGAAAAACGAAATGACATGCTGAGAGCGGCTGGTTGAACCAACCAATGCCCCAGACTCCAACCAATTCGCCCAATTTGCTGCTCTTTGCGAATTGGTGCCTGAGAGACATTGGTCATCGCATCGCATTAACCTATCTACTTTGACATTGTAACCATTCTAACCATTCTAACCATTTTAACCATTCCCTCCTCTCCATTCTAACCTACGTCCTGAACTCCTTGCTTTCTATTCCACCTCCTCTTTCTCCAATGCCCCTTGTGCTTGCTGCTGCGCGGCCCCGAGCAGGCAAGGACCTGAACGACATCCGCGTGCTCACAGACGTGGGGGACGTGCCCGTGCAGGTGAGGGGATTGTGGCTGATGGTTTAGGTGGTATCTGGTGCACAGCAGGTACTGGTGCAGGTGGTATCCGCTGCTTCTCTGCCCCGAGCAGGCAAGGACCTGAACGACATCCGCGTGCTCACAGACGTGGGGGACGTGCCCGTGCAGGTGAGGGGATTGTGGCTGATGGTTTAGGTGGTATCTGGTGCACAGCAGGTATTGGTGCAGGTGGTATCCGCTGCTTCGCTGCCCCGAGCAGGCAAGGACCTGAACGATATTCGGGTGCTCACAGACGTAGGAGATGTGCCCGTGCAGGTGAGGGGATAGAGGGGTTACTGGTGCAGGTGGTATCTGGTGCTGGTAGTATCTGTGCTCTCTACTGTTGCTGCTGCGCTGCCCCGAGCAGGCAAGGACCTGAACGACATCCGCGTGCTCACAGACGTGGGGAACGTTCCCGTGCAGGGTGAGGAGAAGGGGTTACTGGTGCAGGCGGTATCCGGTGCAGGGGGGGTTGGATGCAGGTAGAGCAGAGCAGGCAAGGACCTGAACGACATCCGCGTGCTCACAGACGTGGGGGATGTGCCCGTGCAGGTGAGGACGGGTACTGGTGCAGGCTGTATCCGGTGCAGGTAGCATGAGGTGCCACTGCAGGTAGGATCTGGTCTGTCCTCCACTGTTTCTGCTGCTCTGCTCCAAGCACGCAAGAATCTGAACACTCTTCGGGTGCTTACAGACGTGGGGGATGTGCCCGTGCAGGTGAGGTTACTACTGGCGGAGGTGGTATCTGGTGCAGGTGGTATCTGGTGCAGGTGGTATCTGGTGCAGGTGGTATCTGGTGCAGGTGGTGTCTTTTGCAGGTGGTATCTGGTGCAGGTGGTGTCTTTTGCAGGTGGTATCTTTTGCAGGTGGCATCTGGTGCAGGTGGTATCTGGTGCAGGTGGTATCTTTTGCAGGTGGTATCTGGTGCAGGTGGTATCTTTTGCAGGTGGTATCTGGTGCAGGTTGTGTCTTTTGCAGGTGGTATCTGGTGCAGGTGGTGTCTTTTGCAGGTGGTATCTTTTGCAGGTGGCATCTGGTGCAGGTGGTATCTGGTGCAGGTGGTATCTTTTGCAGGTGGTATCTGGTGCAGGTTGTGTCTTTTGCAGGTGGTATCTGGTGCAGGTGGTGTCTTTTGCAGGTGGTATCTGGTGCAGGTGGTATCTTTTGCAGGTGGTATCTGGTGCAGGTGGTATCTTTTGCAGGGGTATCTGGTGCAGGTTGTGTCTTTTGCAGGTGGTATCTGGTGCAGGTGGTGTCTTTTGCAGGTGGTATCTGGTGCAGGTGGTGTCTTTTGCAGGTGGTATCTGGTGCAGGTGGTGTCTTTTGCAGGTGGTATCTTTTGCAGGTGGCATCTGGTGCAGGTGGTATCTGATGCAGTTGGTGCAGCTGGTATCTGGTGCAGGTGGTGTATTTTTGTACGATTGACATGCTCATGCACCTTCATGCATACCACCCCATCCACGCATTCTGTCCCATCTGATCACAACAGGAGATGCGGGACTGTGGGTTGGACGACAGTCGGCTCATGCGCACCGTGTCAGACTCCGTGCGCCTTGTGCTGGCAGAGGTAATTACCCTGACTCCTAGTCTATTTTATTAGGTAGTTACCCTTATCACCGTATCAGACTATTGTGGGCTAGAGGACAGCCGCCTCATGCGCACCGTGTCAGACTCCGTCCGCCTCATGCGCACCGTGTCAGACTCTGTGCGCCTCGTGCTGGCAAAAGTAGTAACCCTAATTCCTAGGCTTTTTTTACTAGGTGGTAACTCTTCTTGCTGCATCAGACTTCTGTGGG